ACGACGCCCAAACCTGTCCATCGAAAACGCATCCCTCCCAAGGCCACTCCTGCCAAGACTTATCCAAAGAAAAACAAAAGAAGGCAAAGAAGGTCACCAAGACAGCACCCAACACACCCACAAAGATGCCACCTACCAAGGCCCCATCCACCAAAGCAATCACCAAGGCACCCCAAAAGCCTGAGAGAGTCTCAAAGCACCAAGGGATACAAAACGGAGGATCCTCACCTTAATAGGTACTCATGAGTATATCTTGTGTGGCCAATACGACATCGTCGTATGATGACCTCCTCAAATCTGGACTGACAACCGAAGTAAGTGTAACCAATATAGGGTTTTATTTCATGTAATTTATGGATACCTACTTGAGTGTCCCACTTCTTCTGCATCAGATCACGGATGCAAGCTTTGTAATCAGAGTATGGAATAAGAAGTGGTGTCACAGATTTGTTAAGTGCTGCCTTGGCAGCAAGATCGGCCATTGTATTCCCAAAAATGCCAACGTGGCTGGGTAACCAACAGAAGACGATGTCGCATTGGCCAGTAGCAAGATCATTATATAATCTCGATTATTTCAATTAAAAGTGGATGTTTGCAAGATAGATTTTTAATACCCTGAAGGCAAGAAAGAGAGTAAAAAATATTATATATTGTTTATGTTTGGGATGTCTTTGAATATATTTTAAGAGCTGTTAAGATGGCGTTAGCTTCTGCTTGTAAATATAGAGCTGTTATCAGGTATTCTAGAAGATATTGTTCTGATCAATGACAGTGGCACATGCCACTGCGCCACTGTCCTTGGACCCATCTGTAAATAAGGATTTGTATGTATTATATTTAGTATTTAATTGATTAAATTCTTGTTTTATACTGTAATTCATTAGTTTCAGATTTCTTAAACTTTGTCAGAGTTAGGTCAACTTCAGGCCTCACCAGTTGCCAAGGAGGAGAAGAAAGAAGACGGGAAGGAGCTATATTTTCCAGCTCAATGCCGGCAGCAGAAAGAAATGGTTTAATTCTTAAACCAAGAGGCGGAACAAGAGAAGGCGATTGTAGGAAAATCTAGCCAACAGTTCAAATAACAAAAATACTACATTTAAAAATATGATAATATATATTTTACTTTTAAACGTTTTGGGACTTATTTTTTAAAGCTCTCAGGAGGACAATAGCATTACAGTACTTCAACCCCCTTTGAGGATACAGCCACTAACACTCTAAGTTACTAATCTAAACTACCAATCATTGAAATACAAGTCATTTACTATAGAAGATATTATTCAAAATTCATCTATTAAATCTTTTCTTTTAAATGAAAATTAACAGTGTTAAAAGATCCTTAACTGTTTTCACATTGAAATATTAATCCCTTATGATAGAGAATTCAACACAGTCCAGCAGGATGTGAGTGAGTGAGTGAGTGAGTTAATATTTAACGTCACATCGGCAATATTTCAGCCATATCGTGACGAGAACATTTGCATTGAAATGAAATATATGTATATTAGAAAACCTGTCGACGAAGGACAGTAAAACAACTAGAATATCACAAGTACAACTAAAACTAGTATGGAGAATTAAAACTGGTAGCACTATTTGGACAATACAATATAAAACCAAGCTATAGATCGCCAACACCAGAAGGTAGATCACCAAACTAGGGGCCAAGGGGACTTACAGTACCTTGCCTACCTGCATGGACCCTAGTTGGATTTACACCATCCCTTCAGCTGCTGGCGATTGTAAGAAATGCTAGCTACAATTAAAAAGACAAGAATGCTACGTCTAAAAATCCTGGGAAGTTTAAATTGACTTTGAAAGTTTTGAGACTTACGTACCCTCTCAGGAGGACAATAATTTTACGCTACGTTAACCCCTTTGAGGGTACAGCCACAAACAATCTCAGTTACTAATATAAACTACCAACAATAAAATATTTAGCTATTTTTTCAGATCAGTCAACAAATCTAATTATTTTAAAAATTCAACTATTAAAATGATAATTAACATTATAAGAAAGATCCTTCAATGTTTTGACATTAAAATACTGATCCCTTGTGATGGAATATTAAACACAGTCAAGCAGGATGTGCTTGACCGTGACTCTATCATCCTAAGGGATACAAAACGGAGGATCTTCACCTTTACTGACTGACTGAGTTTAGTTTTACGCCGCTTTTAGCAATATTCCAGCAATATCACGGCGGGGGACACCAGAAATGGGCTTAACACATTGTGCCCATGTGGGGAATCAAGCCTGGTCTTCAGCGTGACGAGCCAACGCTTTAACCACTAGGCTACCCCACCGCCCCTCTTCACCTTTTAACAAGTATTTGTGAGTATAACGCGTGTGGCCAATGCGACATCGTCGCATGATGACCTCCTCTTATCTGAACTGACAACCCAAGTAGGTGTAACCAATATAGAGTTTTATTTCATGGAATTTATTTATACCTACTTGGGTGACCCACTTCTTCTGCATCAGATCCCGGGTGTAAGTTCTAATGCTAGCTTTAAAATCGGAGTATTGAATAAGAAGTGGTGGTGTTACAGATCCGCTGTGAAAATAGAGCTGTTATTTGGTAGTCGAGAAGATATTGTTCGGTATCCAATGACAGTTGCACATGCCACTGCGCCACCATCCTTGGACCCATCTGTAAATATGGATTTGTATGTATTATATTTATTCTTTAGTTGATTATATTCTTGTTTATAGTGTAATTCATTAGTTTCCGATTTCTTAAACTTTGTCAGAGTTAGGTCAACTTTAGGCCTCACCAGTTGCCAAGGAGGAGAAGACGGGAAGGAGATATTATTTCCAGCTCAATGCCAGCAGCAGAATTTTGATTAATTCTTAAACCAAGAGGCGGAACAAGAGAAGACGTCTTGTTGTACAAATCCGCATAAAGAGGATTTAAAACACAGTTAAATGCAGGATTAGACTCGTTAGAATGTAGTTTTGTTATAGACTGTAAGGATAATTTTATAAGGGGTTGGTTAAGTGATGGCTCGTCGGCCTCAATATAGAGACTGTCAACAGGAGAAGTTCTAGAAGACCCAAGACAAAGTCTTAGGCCTTGGTGGTGGACAGAATCAAGTAGCTTTGGGTTGCTTTTGCAGGCTCCACCATATACGATTGAGCCATAATCAAGTTCCGAACGGACAAATGATCGATATAGGTGGAGGAGGGTAATTTGATCCCCTCCCCAGTTTGAGTTGGAAACAACTTTCAACAAATCGAGGGCCTTCAGACATTTGGCTTTAAGGAATTTAATATGCGGCAAAAAAGTTAATTGGGAGTCAGAAATTAGACCTAACAACCTGGCCTCCTTGACAACTTTGATGGGAGTACCATTTAAAGATAGTTCTGGGTCTGTATGCGGCTTATATTTTCTACCAAAGTGTAGACAATTAGTTTTTGACTTGGAAAATTTAAAGCCGTTTTCAAGACACCATTTATTTATTTTGTTTAAAACACAACTGCAGTTGCCGTTACATAATCAAAAACAAATTATTGATTTGTTAATTTGCCTATATTCCAGAAGGCCTTGGCTCATGGGCCAATATGGTAGGATCTATCTTTTCAAGATATGTTCCTGCTTGAGTATACCCTCCTAGTATCGCTGGTGTCGTCCGTTGGAGACCCACAGACTTGGGACATCGTCCTTGTTGACACTCCATGGTGGGTTTGGAGCTAGGACGATGAATTATATAAATTTCTATCATGGCGACCCCACTCAAAAAAAATACTCACACGATTCTGATGATTTGTTGTCTTCAGAAGATGACGGTCAAGCAGCCTTAACAATCCTGATAATTGTCCCCGTTTTCTAGTTATGTGTGCTCCTGATGGTGGCTCTTTAAAATTTAATCCCTTTGGTGTATCAAAGGGCATTAAAGGTTTGGCCGACGTGAAGGAAATCAAAAAGTTGAGATCTGGTTCCCTGCTAAGCGAGTGCAGGAAACAAATACAGTCACAAATTCTGCTCAAAACAAAATCGTTAGCAAATGTTCCTGTGGAGGTGGGCGGTGGGGTAGCCCTAGTGGTTAAAGCGTTGGCTCTCGTCACGCCGAAGGCCCAGGTTCGATTCCCCACATGGGGACAACGTGTTAAGCCCATTTCTGGTGTCCCCCGCCGTGATATTGCTGGAATATTGCTAAAAGCGGCGTCAGTCAGTCCTGTGGAGGTGTTCCCTCACAGGACGCTAAATAGCAGCACGGGCATCGTCCGGGATACTGGACGTTGCCTTTCAGACATGAGCGAAATTGATATAATGACTGAACTGCACTCCCAAGGAGTACGTCAGGTCAAACGCTTTACAGTTAAAAAGAATAACGAAACACCTGTTTGTGTCAACTCCGCGGGTTGCCATCATTCTTCATCCAAGGAATGTCCTTACTGGGAGTGTCATTTAAAGATAGTTCTGGGTCCTTATGAGGCTTATATGTTTCTACAAAAATGTATACAATTAGTTTTTGATTTAGAAAATTTAAAGCCGTTTTCAAGACACCATTTATTTATTTTATTTAAACACAACTGCATTTCCCGTTCAATGGTATACATATATATATTTTTACCACGACATGAAATATTAAAATCATCCACAAATAATGATCCATCAATTGAATCATTTAAAACCTTGGATCAACTGTTAATCTTAATGCTAAACAATGTGACAGACAAAATACTTCCTTGAGGCAATGATCAGAGAGGGTTGAACCCACTCGGACTTGAAATTGCCTGTCATTTTAATTATTGGATATAAATTGAGGCAAACGACCTCGTAAACCAAAGTCATGTAAATCTTTTAAAATCCTATGTTTCCGTGTAGTGTCGTATGCCTTTTCTAGATCCAAAAAGATCGACACTGCATGTTGTTTATTATTTATGGCATTTTTCACAAACGATTCTAAACGCACTAAATGATCAATGGTACTTCTGTTTTTTACGGAAACCGCATTGTATATTAGTTATTTGGTTACTGGTTTCCAAGTACCAAACAAGCCGATTGTTGATCATGCGTTCCATGGTTTTGCAGACGCAGCAAGTGAGTGAAATTGATCTATAATTAGAGGGATCAGTATGATCACGTCCAGGTTTAGGCATGGGAACAATAACAGCATCACGCCACGATGAAAGTATTTTTCAAGATGTCCAAATATAATCAAAAATGTAAGAGCGTCTTTCAACATGATTCTGGTAAGTGCTTTAAGGGATGATAATGTATGTTGTCAGCTCCCGAAGCAGTGTCGTGAGCCTGATCAAGAGCAGTATGAAGTTCATGTATCGGAAAGGCTTCATTATAGTCTTCCCCATTATCAGAATTGAAATTAATAGATTTCTTTTCTTGTTGTTTTTGATATTTTTAGTATTCAGGTACATAATTTGAAGAGGAAGAGTGTTTTGCCAACGTCTCACCAAGCTCATTTGCAATATCAGATTTATTGGTTAATAATTGGTTCCCATCTATGCTAGATTTAGAGCCCTTGCCTTTGATTTTCTGGATCATATTCCACACCTTTGATATCGGCGTGCGCAAATTGATTCTTGATACATATTTTCGCCAAGATTGGCGTTTACTTTGCATGAAAGTACGCCTTGCTTTAGCGTTTATGATTTTAAATTTGTCTAAATTGTGGACCATAGGATGGCGACGGAAGTAATGTTCAGCTTTCTTCCTAGCTTGTTTGCAATCGTCTGGAAACCATGGTTTTCGTACACGAGGAGCTGAAGAGGACTTTGGAATACACTCGTCAGCTATGTTAATTGTATCTGAAAAACATTGTATGGCATCAGGAATATCATTAAAGAGTTCAGGTTTGAGTCTGTCAGCACGGAGAATTTCATATAAAAGCCAGTTAGCCTCAATGGGAAAAAAAAAGTCCACATTTACAAGCTTGGAAATGTCTTGGAAAGATGATGTTTCCAAGACATTTCCAATTTTGGAAAGATGATGTTTCCAAGACATTTCCAATTTTGGAAATATGAGATTTCCAAAAATTTACAATTTTGGAAATGTCCACAAGGGGAGATAACTGGTGGGTGATGGTAAATGATTGTTCTTTGCACGCCCCAGGACCTAATCCCTTGTTAAGTGATTAGTGAGTCAAGGCAAATAAGAGTCACCAATTAACAAAAGTCACCAATTAGCCAAAATTGTTAATTAATGAACGAGTCAAGTCAGTTTAGAGAGCCTCTGGAAGGAAAACCAATTTGCAAGTTTGTATGCCTCTTAAAGAAGCCTCTGGAAGTAAGTATAATTTTTGATGGGCATTTAGAAGTGGAATGCATACAAAAAGCAAGATTTATGGATGTCAAGTTCTTTACTGTGACCTGATTTTCACCTGATGAAGAAGCAAGCATATGCTCTGAAACGTCGTGTTATTCACAATAAAGATGTTGTCATCCATAAATCTTGCTTTTCTTATTGCTGAGCTGTACGTTTCTTAATCATGTCGCGATGTCATTATCGCTCTAACACACCTGAGAGATTCGTTAAAAGTGTGGTATGCACAGGCGGTGAAAATTGTATTGTATTGAATTTGGTTGGTTGCATATTGTTTTGTGTTATGCTGTCCGTTTGTTTGTATGTGTGAATGAGGAACCTCACATATTATGACATTGAAAACAGATTAAACTAAACAATATTCCATGGTCAATATCGCAATGTTAGTGAAATGGTAGTATACGGAAGTTTGTTCCATATTTTTGATAGTACCTTCTTTTATGAAGATACAAATTATTTAATATTGAACGAATAATGTCACGCTTCTCTCAGAGTAAGGGAAGATAATTTATATAGTGTTTCTTATAAAAATAGATATTTCTTTATCGTCCGAACAGAATTCACAAATCATGGATGTTTTGTGAGCACTCGCATATAACATCTAACTTGATAGGTATTAAAATCAGGCCGTTTGTAACCATAATGACTATATTGGTTGGAACATTTGAGGAACAAAAATAATTTCACACTTCAAAAGGAACTGTAACATTTTTCATGTTATCATATGAGCTTCACAAACATTGAATGAAATTAATGCTGTATGATGAAATTTATGAGAGAACATTATAATGGCATAAATGACGTGTTAATGACACATGTAATTGTAAAAAGTATATAATCACTATGTTAGTTAACTCATGACCAGACACATCAAACTGGTACCGATAGATTTATATCTAATGTTTAAAAATTCAGCATTTCATAGTATCTAAAAGTAGAAAACACGAATTTGGAATGAGATGTTTTAATCTGAGATCAATCTGTTAGGTAGCAGTTTACTAAAGTAGAACTTAAACCAACTTCAAAAGATTGGTCATTCGCAAACTGAAGCAGATCTCATTTATACTGCAGTAAACAATATTCGAATTCATAACTAATCATACCACTTACGTGATAACAACTCCCTGTTTATTGCATACAGCGGCATTTCGATGTACATCGTTCAGGATAAACAAGCTGATTGAATGTTGATTGATTCCATCACTTGGACAATGGAGTGAATTTCGACTTGTTGATCTTACTTTCCTGTTGGCCCCAACGATGTGCTACTTGCTGAATTACCTGTTGTTGTTAATTTGCTGCTTGTCACTATGCATATATACTTCTATTCACCTGGTTGTAGTAACTTTTATCTTGATAACGGCGTGAGAATATACATGGAAACTCCCCTCTATCGACCTTTGGTCCAATTGGATGAGTTAAGAAAAAAGGTCGATGTCCCGTCCGTTAGCAATTAACATTGGATTATAGAGACAATGATGGGGCTACGTGTTGATAGAAGAGGATAATCCGGATGATGCGGATGGGAGCACACCTAATGAGAAAACGAGCCAAATATATGTATAAATATAGTGTTTTATTTCAGTCTCAGTTCACTTAGCACATATACATTGAAATATAAAACACATAAAATACATAGAAGGCGTAAGCCACGAGTGTTAACGGGAGACTATATAGACAGATTATACCTAATCATGTCACAACATGCTACATTTTACAGGAATTATAAATAGTTATATTACATTATATTACGAAATGTTACGAAATATTACCAAATTTTAAATATACATACACATTTATAAGTATATTATAAATATATTAAATATGTGAAAGAAGAGACGCTGAATCAGCAAACTGTCTAACGGTTAACATTCCATTTTGAAACTGGTGTTTCAGTTCTTGAACACGACGTTCCACGTATCGGTATTTCTTCTTCGTGGGTTGTCTTTGGCCTAAGGCATATTGCACAGATAAGGTGTAGGAATAAACTTATGTTCAAGTTGAGCATTAGCCATTTCGAAATCGAATGTACACTTTCATGCTTCTTCTCATTATATATCCCCATGTAATTAGAGGGGAACTGATCCAGAGCGATTAATGTTTCTCGCCAACAGTCTAATTAGCAAAATAAACTGCAAGCTGGTCGGTATCTGCTCCTTCGACCGTGACGGACACACTGACTAGGCTTCTGGCCACCTTGACAAAATTTCTTCAACCCAAACTGCGGGACATTAGGAAGGGTACATGCTCATCAGATGCTGTTATTTGAGACTATCCCCGGTAGTTCCTGTCTAATTGCAATAAAGTATCCCAGCAGTGTGTATGCTTTCCGGATTTTCGAATGCATGGATGGCATAGTGACTGATCCAATTTGATCTTATTTCTGTGGGGTTTATTTATTTACCTCGATATTTAATCATGCCATGCAAACATATGATGTCTATTACATATTATGTTAATGACAAATGAAAATATACTTGGGTATATACAATTTTAACTTCAGTACACATCAAATGCTTAAATGTATTTCTTATGCCACAATGAAGTTCCGTTCGTATCCTCCAAACAGTGTCGGCCCATAAGTTTTTTAAGGCAATTAAAATTGCATGCAATTCAGCTTACTACTCCGTTTGCTGTAACCAGTGTTTGGTGGTATAAACCTACAACCTACATTCACTGGATGGTATTTGTCATCATTCACTGGAATACCACTTAGATTACCCAACAAAGGTTCCCATTTCGCATTTCTTGTGTCTGGAGTAAATACTCAGCATTATGAATTAAGGTCCGATGCGACAAATGTATTACATGTTATGTAATATGCTCATGGAAGTGCAGCAAGACGAATTATCAGCTGAGATACAAAACAAAAATTGATCAAAGGATTAACCGATAACACGTTGATTAATTAATTACTTTTATCTTGCACAGCGGATTTGTCAAAGGTAGTGTTTATGTATGTAGATTTAGTAATCAATACTGATTACACCCTGTCGTAAAGTACCTGTGTAAAACATCTTTCCTTCAATGGAATAACAGCCAGTACGTTAATGGGGTGTTCCTCTTTTTATGCCAGTCGGGCAAGTTGTTTTCCTTAAGGCGTAAGAGGATCACCAGACCATGTTAATTAGCAAGAAAATGGTGGGTGGGAGGGTGGGGAGGAGATGACCAAGCCGAGAAAGACACAAGTGGATTGATTGCTCATTATTGGCTAATTAAATTACTTCTTTAAAGAATGGCGGACATCATGCAATTAGTTGCCATGTGTGCGATCTTGGATGACCAATTAGATTATACACCAATGTTAAAAGATCTGAATCGATGTGTCCCTTTTTCGCATATTATACTGTTAAAAGACACTTGACATGGAACAGGATTCTTTGTCAGCTGCAGATCAATGGCATATTGTTCCTTTATGTGGAGGTAGTGTCCCATTTTGACAGCGTCTTGGTCACTGATTCGCGAAGTTTCGCTCTCAAACCTGGGATAACTAGCTGTACCAAATAAGGGTAGTTATGTAAATACAATAACCCGAGAGAGGTACAGAACAAGTATTATTCTTGAACACTAACTCCACAATCAACTGAGAGAAAAGGATGCGAGAAGCAGCATTATCCGTTGAGATGTGTGAATGCAATATTTAAAAAAAGGTTACGTCATGAATGAGCAGGATGGGAGAAGTAGCTTTACCAATTACTTGCAAAGTATATATGCCCACAAATTCATCACATTTTCTTACAAAGTTACATGGTAGGAGACCAGGTGGAGAATTGTTGCTGGATGGATATAGGTATCTGAGACGAACTGCCAACAGGAATGGTACCATTATATGGTATATATTCAGCATACACATCAGACCAATGCTCTATTGGTTCCTATATCCTTACCAGTAATGTAAACAAACGGGCACGAGAAGAGCTGACAAGTGTACCAAAGTTCATTGTCAAAATTGGGATACCTGGCTAGATCAATAACAGAAGTGAGAAATTTCACTGTCAAATTTGAGGCTGTCAAAATCGGGACTAAACTTATGATGGATATTGATGGATATATTCCTCTAACAAGGTAATAACCTGAGATTGTTGCAGACTTTTAGTCTGTTTTATTTCTAATATTTGCATTTTGTTTTTATTAATTTGTGGTATCATTCAACATAATCATTTGTTTTCGCCGTGTAACGTAATGAGACAGACAACATACACTAGGTTATTACTAAGGCGTGTGTGAAATATGATTCATGTTGGCATTCTAGAAAATGTCTAGATATTACAGTCATCTTATAAATACACTATAACTATAAGCAGATCGTATGCTTTTATTAAGTTTCAAAATGCATACAAATATGACAACAAAATAATTAGGATTATAAGACAAAATATAAAGACATACATTGACTTCTGTTAGTTTTTCTGTCCGGACGTTTTTTTACCACTGACAGATAATTAAACTTCAAAATGTTTTCATTTGTTATAATAGAATTGAAGATGGAATTATAATCGAGTAAAAAAGATTTCATTTTTGTTGATCAATCTGGACCTATGCTATCAATTGCGCATGCGGGTGGCGCAGCAAAGGTCACGAAGCAGTCGAAAATAGTGATATATCATCCGGGTCCTCAGGGGAGAAAAACAATAACAGTGCGCGGAAATTGCTCTGGATTAGTGCCCTTTTAAATGTGTTCATCATGTAATTGTTTTAATCATGTTTTTACACGGTCGGCTTCCGTGTGCGATGTGTTGAACTTCCATCAACCACCAGCTTGTAATAACACGTCGCATGAGCTTAGCCAGGTGCTAAAATAACACCCAAACTTCAAAGTGTACCCCTTTGTCAACGTCCCGAGCCTTATAAAAATCGACACCTTCTCAAACTATTGTCATGTAAGTGGTAATAATTCCTGAGCATTAGAGAACAGATTGGTTGCTTTTTTTGGAATTTAATGCTTTTCATAAGCTAGAATCTCATTTACTATTTGTCTCTGGAATCATCTGTGATATGAACTTGTGTAGTGATTTCTCTAGAAATTATTTAACGTGATCTAAAATGAATAATGCATTAAACATTTTGTCATCTTTTATTGTAAATGACCAAATTAATTAGTTACACTATGAAGTTTTTAAGAAGGAATTCATTTGGGTTGGTTTTGCCCCAGTCCACCCATGTGTGGACAACATAACCAATTATCTATTAACAAGTTCATGATCTTTCGTGAATATACCAACTGCATAACACCGTCTCTGACCCAAAAACCCAAACGGGTTGTTCTCTATTGCCCTACATCCCAATTCGTCTACAGTCTCAAACCAACATTTCATGGCCTGTTGACTGTTGATTACGCCATGATAAACCACCCAAACGGTCCATCCATTGTGACAAGTGTTAATTAGAGTGAGTGAGTGAGTTAAAATTCAAAGTCACATCGGCAATATTTCAGCCATATCGTGACTAAAACTAGTTCTAAATTTATAATACATACATGTAATATATAAAACCATGTCAACGAAGGACAGTACAACCAGTAGAGTATCACAAAATGAGTTAAAACTAGCTAGCATATAACGTTAAAAGTAGAAAACTATTTTTGGACAATACAAGGTAAGCAACTGAAGGCTGATTACCATGCTATGGACCATGGGGCCTTACAGTACTTTGGCTACCTGCATAGACCCTAGCTGGATTTACACCATCCCTTCAGCCACTGGTGATTGTTGTGAACTTTAGCCATTATTTAAAACAACAATTATTCTACGATTAAACTATTTTTGTAGGTCGAAATTGACTTGGACAGTTGTGGAACTTCTGTACCCTCTCAGGAGGACAATAATTTTACATTGCTTTAACCCCCTTCGAGGATACAGCCTCTGACCATCTGAGTTGCAACTTAAACTCTACTAATATTAAAAATCAACTATCTACACAATATCAAAATTTATCAATTAATTCAATTTCTTTTAAAAATCCAAGGATTAAATGAGGAGCAACATGATTAAAAAGATCCTTCATTGTTTTTACATCGAAATATTTTTCCCTTGTGATGGCAAAATCAATTCAGTCTATCAAGACATGCTTGACCGGGATTTTTTCATCACAAGGGATGCAGAATGGAGGATCTTCGCCTTTTAACAAATGAGTACACACGAGTACACATTTTACACATGAGTATACCTGCTGTGGCCAATGCGACATCGTCGCATGATGACCTCTTCAAATCTGGACTGACAACCCAAGTAGGTATAACCGATAGTTGGTTTTAGTGCATGTAATTTATTAGTACCTATTTGGGTGTCCCATTTCTTTTGCATCATATCACGAATGTATGATCTAATGGTTGCTTTGTGGTCGGAGTATGGAATGAGAAGTGGTGTCACAGATTTGTTGAGTGCTGCCTTGCAGCAAAATCGGCCATAGTGTTACCAGAGATTCCAACATGGCTGGGTAACCAACAGAGGACGATGTCGTATTGGCCAGTAGCAAGCTCATTGTATAATTCAATTATATCGAGTAAAAGTGGATGTTTGGTGCAAAGATTTTTAATAGCCTGAAGGCAAGAAAGAGAGTCTGAAAATATGATATATTGTTTGTATTTAGGATGTTTTTATAATATATTTAAGAGCTGTTAGTATGGCGTTAGCTTCTGCTGTGAAAATAGAGCTGTTATTTGGTAATCGGGAAGATATTGTTTTAGATCCAATGACAGTGGCACAAGCAACCGCGCCACCATCCTTGGACCCGTCTGTGAAAAAAGATTGGTATGTACTATATTTAGTATTTAATTGATTAAATTCTTGTTTATATTGTAATTCATTAGTTTCTGATTTTTAAAAGTGGTTAATGTTAGGGTCGACTTCTGGCCTAACCAATTGCCAAGGAGGAGAAGAAAGAAGACGGAAGAGAAATTTATTCTAGCTCAGTGCCAGCAGCGTAAAGGAAAGGCTTCATTCTTATTCCCAGAGACGGAACAAGAGAAGACTTTTGTTGTACAGTTCCTCATACAGGGATTAAAGACACAGTTATAAGCAGGATTCGACTGATTAGAATATAGTTTAGTAATAAACTGCAAGGATAATTTGATACGGCGATTGTTTAGAGAAGCTCTCGTCAGCTTCAACGTAAATACTGTCAATGGGAGAAGTGCGGGAAGATCCAAGACAAAGTCTTAGACCTTGGTGGTGGATAGAATCAAGTAGTTTCAAGTTAGCTTTTACACAGGCTCCACCATATACGATGGAGCCATAGTCAAGTTTTGATCGGATGTGTGATCTGTACAAATGCAGGAGGGTAGTTTGATCCCTCCCCACTTTGAATTGACACGACTTTTTTAATATATCTAATGCCTTCAGGCATTTAGTCTTCAAATACCAATGTGTGGTAAAAAGGTCAAATGTTTGTCAAAAAATCAGTCCCAGAAACTTGGCTTCCTTACAACGTTAATTGGAGAGCCATCTTAGAACAGTTCGGGATCCTTATGAGGGGGCTTATACTTCCGACAGAAATGTATTCATTTGGTCTTAATCTGTGAAAATTTAAAGACCTTCGTAAGTGGCTATTTATGAATTTTATTCAAACACATCTGTAATTGTCTCTCGATGGTATGCATATTTTACCACGACATGAAACGTTAAAATCATCCACAAACAAAGACCCATCTATTGAGTCATTAAATACTTTCGAGAGACTATTTATTTTTATGGTAAACAAAGTAACGAAGACAAAATACTGCCTTGTGGAACCCCCTGATCCTGATGATTATAATGGTCAGACAGGGTTGATCAACACAGAACTTGAAATTGTCTGTCTGCTAAAACTGTGATATAAACTGAGTGCAAACGGCCTCTCAAACCAAAGTCATGTAAATCTTCTTAAAATTCCATATTTCCATGTTGTATCATAGAAAAACTTTTCCAGGTCGAAAAAGCAGATACAGCATATGCTGAATTATTACCACCATGGAAATTTTAACAAATGATTCCAGCCGGAACCAAATGGTCAATAAGTGCTTCTATTTTTGCGAAAACCACATTTGATGTTAGTATAAGATTATTGGATTCTAGAAACCATACTAATCTATTATTGACCATGCGTTCCATGGTCTTGCAAACGCAGCTAGTTAGTGAAATAGGTCTGTAGTCTGATGGATCTGTATGATCCCGGCCGAGGCTTAGGTATTGGTACAACAATAGCATGACGCCATGACGGAGAGAGGATGCCCTGTTGTCCAAATATTATCAAAATGTTCAGAAGTGTTTCAAGACATGCATTGGGTAATTGTTTCCAGGGAGCTGATAGTGGATATTATCAGCACCTGTTGCCAAATATCATGAGCTTGCGCTAATGCAGTATTCAGCTCATGTAGTCAAAATACTTCATTATAATCTTCACCACTTCTTTTGAGATGATAGAACACTAGAATTTCTACACTTTTGCCCTTTGATTCTCTGTATCATGTTCCATACCTTCGTCATTGGCGTACGGGAATTAATCTTCGATACAAAGTTCGTCGAAGACTGACGTTTACTTTTTTAAAATAGGTCGAGACTTTGGCTTTGTAACTTATCTAAATTGTGAACTATAGGATGACGTCGAAAGTATTTCTCTGCCTTCTTCCTACACTGCCTACACGCTTGTTTTACAAATCGTCAGTAGAAAACCATGGTTTACGAACATGTGGTTTAGCAGAAGCCTTAGGAATAGCTTCTCATCGGCAATATTATTCAGTTTACAGAGAACAACCTCAATCGCATCCTAAAACATTGGACAAAAGGCCAGAGATTTCAAGTTGTCAAAGCACACAGTGTCTGAAATAATGGCCGAGTTAGCCTTATTAAAAATGCCACCTTGTAGTAGATGGGTCATCACTCGGGTTTTATAGCAGAAATGTTGTGGAAAATGGTCCACTTCCACACAGGTCATCGTGGACGAGACCACTTAAATTCGTTGCAAATACTTGGGTCTATGAGCGACAAGGTCGAGTGCAGAGGCCGTTCCTGAACCAGGGTGTAAGTATATGACATATCTTCATTAAAGAGATGCATTATTATTGTTTGAAATAGAGAGTCCTCAATGATTTTTCCTTTGTTGTTGGTATCGGCACACACCCCACAAAAGGATTATGGCCATTTAGATCTCCCTTGATTTTATGGTTGAGGAAGTTCGACCCCCTTTGAGGTGCAGCCACCAACAATATCAGTTACTAATTCAAATTACCAATAATAAAATCTTTATCCATTTTACAAATCGGTTAACAAATCTATTTTTTTTTTAAAAATGCACGTAATTAAATGGAACTTATACTACTATGTGTGAATGAGGAACCTCACATATTATGACATTGAAAACAGATTAAACTAAACAATATTCCATGGTCAATATCGCAATGTTAGTGAAATGGTAGTATACGGAAGTTTGTTCCATATTTTGATAGTACCTTCTTTTATGAAGATACAAATTATTTAATATTGAACGAATAATGTCACGCTTCTCTCAGAGTAAGGAAGATAATTTATATAGTGTTTCTTATAAAATAGATATTTCTTTATCGTCCGAACAGAATTCACAAATCATGGATGTTTTGTGAGCACTCATATAACATCTAACTTGATAGGTATTAAAAATCAGCCGTTTGTAACCATAATGACTATATTGGTTGGAACATTTGAGGAACAAAAATAATTTCACACTTCAAAAGGAACTGTAACATTTTTTCATGTTATCATATGAGCTTCACAAACATTGAATGAAATTAATGCTGTATGATGAAATTTATGAGAGAACATTATAATGGCATAAATGACGATGTTAATGACACATGTAATTGTAAAAGAGTATATAATCACTATGTTAGTTAACTCATGACCAGACACACCAAACTGGTACCGATAGATTTATATCTAATGTTTAAAATCTCAGCATTTCATAGCATCTAAAAGTAGAAACACGAATTTGGAATGAGATGTTTTAATCTGAGATCAATCTGTTAGGTAGCAGTTTACTAAAGTAGAACTTAAACCAACTTCAAAAGATTGGTCATTCGCAAACTGGAAGCAGATCTCATTTATACTGCAGTAAACAATATTCGAATTCATAACTAATCATACCACTTACGTGATAACAACTCCCTGTTTATTGCACACAGCGGCATTTCGATGTACATCGTTCAGGATAAACAAGCTGATTGAATGTTGATTGATTCCATCACTTGGACAATGGAGTGAATTTCGACTTGTTGATCTTACTTTCCTGTTGGCCCCAACGATGTGCTACTTGCTGAATTACCTGTTGTTGTTAATTTGCTGCTTGTCACTATGCATATATACTTCTATTCACCTGGTTGTAGTAACTTTTATCTTGATAACGGCGTGAGAATATACATGGAAACTCCCCTCTATCGACCTTTGGTCCAATTGGATGAGTTAAGAAAAAAAGGTCGATGTCCCGTCCGTTAGCAATTAACATTGGATTATAAAGACAATGATGGGGCTACGTGTTGATAGAAGAGGATAATCCGGATGATGCGGATGGGAGCACACCTAATGAGAAAACGAGCCAAATATATGTATAAATATAGTGTTTTATTTCAGTCTCAGTTCACTTAGCACATATACATTGAAATATAAAACACATAAAATACATAGAAGGCGTAAGCCACGAGTGTTAACGGGAGACTATATAGACAGATTATACCTAATCATGTCACAACATGCTACATTTTACAGGAATTATAAATAGTTATATTACATTATATTACGAAATGTTACGAAATATTACCAAATTTTAAATATACATACACATTTATAAGTATATTATAAATATATTAAATATGTGAAAGAAGAGACGCTGAATCAGCAAACTGTCTAACGGTTAACATTCCATTTTGAAACTGGTGTTTCAGTTCTTGAACACGACGTTCCACGTATCGGTATTTCTTCTTCGTGGGTTGTCTTTGGCCTAAGGCATATTGCACAGATAAGGTGTAGGAATAAACTTATGTTCAAGTTGAGCATTAGCCATTTCGAAATCGAATGTACACTTTCATGCTTCTTCTCATTATATATCCCCATGTAATTAGAGGGGAACTGATCCAGAGCGATTAATGTTTCTCGCCAACAGTCTAATTAGCAAAATAAACTGCAAGCTGGTCGGTATCTGCTCCTTCGACCGTGACGGACACACTGACTAGGCTTCTGGCCACCTTGACAAAATTTCTTCAACCCAAACTGCGGGACATTAGGAAGGGTACATGCTCATCAGATGCTGTTATTTGAGACTATCCCCGGTAGTTCCTGTCTAATTGCAATAAAGTATCCCAGCAGTGTGTATGCTTTCCGGATTTTCGAATGCATGGATGGCATAGTGACTGATCCAATTTGATCTTATTTCTGTGGGGTTTATTTATTTACCTCGATATTTAATCATGCCATGCAAACATATGATGTCTATTACATATTATGTTAATGACAAATGAAAATATACTTGGGTATATACAATTTTAACTTCAGTACACATCAAATGCTTAAATGTATTTCTTATGCCACAATGAAGTTCCGTTCGTATCCTCCAAACAGTGTCGGCCCATAAGTTTTTTAAGGCAATTA